TGAACCTCGTTGAACCAGTTGAGCTGCGTGTATGCATGTGTCTCCAATTTTATGCGGATGGATGTTGGTGTGTGGTACATGTGTTATCCTATTTTTAGTGCAATTTTACCAACCGGACGTGCGCAAGTGAAAACCCGAAATTGTCGGATCTTGAGCGAAATAAATGTCTATGTCTATGTCTCGCTGCAAACTTGGCTATCTCAACTCAAACCCCATGTTAACCCTCGCCCCGTTGGGGGGCCATTTTGGCCCCCCCTGTGGTTTTTCCTGAATAGCAAGAAAACGGCGGCGCGCAGCGCCGCCAAATTTTCAGTACCTTCCCGGGCATCAATTTGACACCTTCACACCAAATTTCAAGTCTTAGGTCACCTTAGGTCAGGAGTTATTGAGGTCAAACTGAGGTCATGTTCGAGCAAAAATGAGCAAAAAACATGCAATCTTGAAACGCTCACCAAATCTACAGTTATCAAGCAATTTCAAAGTTCTTTATATGGTCTAGTAGACAAAAAGCGGCGCTACAAAACTGCGATCTCGGATTTTCAAAATTTTTGGTTTTTGACCACAAAAAAATCAAAAAATTGATTTTTTTAGAAAAACTTTGAAAAAATCCAAACATTTTCCGAATTTCGAAAAAACCGGAATATATGTGATAGTCCCAGCGCTCTTCTATATACATACCAAATTTCAGATTGATATCTCGTTTTTTTGGCCAAGTTATAGCGAAAAAACTGTTCAAAAATGATGACGTCAAATTTTTGAACTCAATTTTTAGCAATTCTAGACCACGTACGGCAAAAATAAGACCACCATTGAACTCCCCGTGACGAGCTGCATCGATTCGATACCCATTTTATGCAAAAATATTAACTTTGAAATTTGACCTTATTTGACCTGACCTTGACCTGACCTTGACCTGACCTTGACCAAAACGTGATCTAAGCTGGTCCCAAAGGCTGCCTGACCCATATAATCGCATTTGTCATGTAAAATGGACCATAAAACATGTATCACACGACACTTTCATATTGTGCCCCCCCCCCCCCCGTGACCTGACCTCTGTGACCTGACCTGGTATCAGTGACCTCAAATAGCAAAATATGTGTTTGAAGAACATTTCCCCATCGATGATTTTCAATGAAATGCATTTTACTCGATTTTACAACGCATTTCTTGAAGTGCCTGTAAACGGTGAAAATTGGACCTTTGACCTGACCTGTGACGTCATCTAGGATAAAATTGGGTCACAAGGTAGTTCCCCGTTGGGGCTATCCAACGCCGTTTACCGCTTGTCGCTATGTTGCGTGGTTCTCGAGATCTTAGGAGGGGGGGCCAAAATGCCCCCCCCCCCCCAACCGGGCGCGTTGCTCGGCAGAGCCCAACGGGGCGCGGGTTAAAGGTGGGATAGTCCCTTTAAGAAACAGCCGCGCAGATGGTCTCATTGTGTTCAGCTCGTCAAGGTGCATCGAATGATTTACAATTGTACACGAAGACCTTGAGCTCACGTGACCTGAGGTCAACCTTTGACCTTGACCTTTCTAGGTCAACTTGTATACGATTCGATGCGGATTGACGAGAGGATCACGATGGTGCCATTAGTTAGTTCCTAGCTTAGCTACTTCGAAAGTTAGGTATTCGAGAAAAACTCTTCATTTCTAGCGCCGCCATTTTGACTTTTTACCCCTGTGACGTCATCTTTGACCTGACCTGAAAATAACCTGTGTATAAATTGTGGACTTTTCCATGCGTATCCCATGCCGTTTACCGCTTGTCGCTATCTTGCTTCGTCCTCGAGATCTCCGTGGGAGGGCGGCCAACCCCCCGCCCTCCGTCGGTTCTAAGCTGGTGCGGACCCCCGTCGGTGCGCGGGTTAACGGACTTATACTGATTATGCTGCAGTATAAACTACTGTAGCACTCGATTTTAATGTTTTTATCCCGGTAAAAAGCGCATGCTATTAACATACAATATAAATAACCTATGTGCTTACTTCGATGATGCGCTGATAGATGCCACGACTCTGAGCGATCTTGATCATTTCGGACGATGGCTCAAGGGCGTCCAGGTTTCTTATGCCGGCGTCGTAGAGCTGCCAGAAGTCTGCAATTGTAATACCACGCCATGCATTTTTTATGTTTACACATCACTTCATAGTGCACACGATCTTATGGCTTTTCGTATCCGGGACATCATGATGCAACATTTTAAGCTCTATCTTACAAAAGAACGTAAAGGTCACGCGTAAAAGGGTAATGCACAAATGAGAAAAACGGGATAAACAATGAATCGCATTTACGATCATTCAATCTTCTATCAACGCAGTGGCAATCAAGTAAAATTACGTCAGGCTTCTATCTTCGCTTCCCAAAAATGAGCTTAAAAAATATATCACACCTTATGACATTGTAGGCAAATGAGCAAGGACGGTTGCATTACAAACTGATTTTATTTTCAGCATTAGATACGAATCTAATTGCACGCGCATTTACTTTGTTTACGTATATATCGTGTAGTAACTTTAACCACATTTCTTGCGATCGGCTGTGGTCGACCGTGACACTCAGCACTCCTGCCGGCAGTGTCACTCATCCTGACAGAGACACTCGGCACTCGGCACTCGGCACTCGGCACTCGGCACTCACCCTCTGTCCGACCAGACCGGTACCCGCGGCGACATCCAGCACTTTCAGCTGACCCCGGGGTACGGCGCCGTCCTCGGGGAACAGATCCAGCACGGCCTCAGTGGCGAACCGGGGTCCGCCGAGCACCTCGACCGGAAACTCCTTCGGGACGGAGATAACATTTGGTGACATAACTCATAAATGTCCATGACGGGAGAGTGAACTGACGAATTTACCATGAAGGTTGGTGGGTTTGGTGTATTACATACATGACCGTAAAAAATATATTGAAAAAAGCACATGTATTATTGGTTGGGTATGTGCTGCCCAAGGTTGGCACAGCTTTGTGCAGTAATTATTTGTATACAAGAGTCGTGCAAGTTCGGTATCGTTTAACTTAACGGTACTATGTAGAGACAAAAATAGGATTTAAAACGCCCAGCAAATCTAATGGCAATTCGTGTAGTTCCACAGCCAGAAAAATAAAAATGTTTTACCCAAACCTAAGGTGAGGTTGTAGTTAAAGTGGTATTCGATTACTGAAATCAAACAACAAAAGAACACTTTATATTTCGGCTCGTTGGTGTATGTTCCTTCATAAAACATCACACGATGTATTTCTGTCATACAACACGATTTATTTAGCAATACGCGTTTCGCTGATAACTCATGACGAGTGCTTCTATGTATATAGCGTCGTTTGTGTGTGTTATACACAAAACGTAAGCAAATGAGACGTTATTACGAGTGCAAGTGATATGAAGGCTGTGATACCAGTAAATGTTGACCTGGATTTTACAAATACCTCGTCATAGTTGGTGGCTGTCCGGTTGTAGGCCGTGACGGTTTCCTGGACGTCCCTGTGCTGGATCAGCTGGTTGACGAGCCGCGGCTCCTCCTGTCCACCGGACGGCATGGCTGCACGCGCTGAGAGTCGGTCACAATCCGCTCTGAAACGGCCGAGTCACAGCCGCTGCTCGCTCTGAATTCAACCGAGCTTCAGTCGCAGCCCGCTCAGCCTTCGAGCGAGCTTCAGCTGTAATCGGTCTGATTCTGGCCGAATGTCAGCCGCTTTTCGCTTCTGTTTCGGCCCAGTTCAGCCACTATTCGCCCAGATTTCGACTGAGGTTCAGCCACTACGCACTCTGCCTCTAGTTCTCGCCGTTGTTCAGTACCTCCACGGTCCGACGCAGACGACCGACTGGCGACTAGCGCCGGGTGTTTATAAAGGAGTGCGTGCCCCCCGAGCCAGGCCCCGCCGACCGAGGTGGTCCGATGACCTCTGCGCTGCGGGCGGGCGTTTGTCCAAGGAGTGGACTTAGCAGCTGGTGTTTTTGATTGATGAATAAAGCGAGCTGTCGTTTATGGTATATAGCGAACTCCCTGACCCTGAAATGGGTCTGGCAGGTCGAAAAGGACTTATGCAGCGAAACAAACAAACAAACTCGTGGTTACGCCCCTGGATGACGAACATTGCACAGATGCATACCGCTTTCTATGACATGCCATAATAACACTTTCGACCTAAGGTTGACATCAATCTATAGGGCCGATTAAGGTCTGTCTGATGACGATGAATTTGCGATGCGTCGATTGCAAATACCACAATAGACCCGAGTCGTAATGCCCAAAGCTAAGTATGCTAAATAAAGACTCATTTGAATTCCAGGTATCCAGCTTACCATGGTTAGCTTTCTCTGAGTCCTGATGCTCGCCTCTTGCCACTCCGGCTGTCCCTGCCCCTGTACTCTGCCCCTGTATGTACATACTCTGGACCGAGACCGCTATATTGGGGAGGCGAGGGGCATGCTTGGCCGGGAAAACAGCTTTGTCAGGTGGATTTAAGCACAATGTACATATGCGGCACTAAGTGAACTACTAATATACAACGCCTTGGAAACTAGCTGTGTCTCTGTGCCGTATCCATATTTATAAATATTTGACTTGGAACGTGTCGAGAAAGCTTCGTGAGCATTTGATTTGTTTGTAGTGTCATGATGTGATAGATTGTGTTAACTTTTATAGGCCACTCCTCTACGTATTTACTAACAAACTACCAGCATATGGTAGTGTCATGCCAATGCCATACGATAGCAGGAATGTTTCCTCTTCACTGAATTCCTGCAAGTTTGATTTTAAGACTTAGCAGGATTAGGATTACCAGGATTTTTACGTTATTCATATTTCGAACACACGATAATGTATTCACTCATATTGATTATTGCTGGCACCAATAACGCGGAGCCACACGGGTTTTTCACACCTTGTCCTAGAGCCATAGGAAGGACCACAAACAGTAACACTCTAAGGCACATGGCTTCCGCCAACACTAAACATATCCCGACTCGCATTAGGGGTGGTACGTGTGACAATGGACGTCCATCATCTGTTTCCGTCAGTGTCAGCGTCTCCCTTATCCTCGCCCTCCTCCAGATCTGACTCTCCCTCCTCGCCCGTGCAGTAGTTATTGAGCTTCAGATAATTGTTCTCCCGGCCAGCGGGGGGCGGTAACGCTGAGGGATCATTCGGCCCGGACTCCTGCCCTGACAGCGTCTCGAGCGAGTCGGTCGGCAGGTCGGGCGCCTCTGCGACCTCGACCTCCTCGACAGAGTCGTTACGAACGTCCAGCCTCGCTCGGCCCGGCTCAGACCTGTCATTGTCCTCATCTCTCGGGGTACTCGACTGCAGGTCCTCCTCGTCAGCGTCAGCTGCCTCATCACTGTCACTGGCCCCATCGTCACCGTCACTGTCACCGTCACTGTCACCCGCGTCCTCCGCCTGCGGTTCAGACGGAGGAGCACTGTCCCCCTCCGGCTGGACCCCGGACTCGGCCACTGGGTCCTCGCGCGGAGTATCAAGGTCCGCGCCCGCCACATTGTCCCTGCGCTGTCCCTCAGAGTTTGACACATCCTCATGCTGCCCCTCAGGACCCTCCACGTCCCTCTGCTCTCCCTCAGAGCCTGCTGCGTCCCTCTGCTGTCCCTCAGCGCCCCCTTTAGCATCCTTTGTCTGTTCCTCCGCATCAGCAGCCGGCGGCCGACCGTCGTCAACACTGCGGGACCTCGCGGTCTCTGGTCCGACGCTCGGCGGAGTGCCTGGCTTGAGCACCACCAGCTCGATGACCTCGTAGGTCCTCTGGCGCACCAGGCGTTTGGGGATGGCCGGCAGCGGCTCGTACTTGGATGGCAGTTGGCCGGCGGGCGGGACCGGCGCGGCGACTGCCACCGGGTCGTCGTCACTGCGAGAACCGCCAGAGGAGGCGCGGGAGAGCGGCTGCAGCGAGGTGAAGCTCACCGGCCGGGAGATGTGCGCCGGCGGCAGCCGCGGCCGGCCGCTGGTAGCGCGCACCGACGGCAGGTGCGCCATGGTTGGCCGCCGGCGCGTCACCGTCGCCGCCGACGCAGCGGGCGCAGGCGAGGCCTGCAACACGCGGACGTGACAGAAATCACACACTGTTGTCGATATTGATCGGAGGCCCTGGCAACCAGCCGGACCCGGTGGCGATGGTGTATTGCGACCGCGATAGAAACAGGCCCTTTATTCACGGACTCGGGGCCACGTTTGTCGACAGTTAATTTAGTTATTGGCACACAGACACGAGGTTATTTCTGCACAACACGACAATGGCGATACCATTCTACGAAACTGTCAAAGGAGCTTTCGTGTCGTGTGTGGCTGAGACTGGCCTTGACATTGTATTTTAGTTTGAGTAGTACACGGGTTTTCGAACGTCTTAGACTACAAAAAAACGTTCTGAATGTCTGAAATTCCTGTCACGTAGATACGAGGTCACTGCCAGTTACAGCTAAGATCAATCAGTCTGACAATCAAATAACTAATCGAACAATCGAACCAGCGGAGTCCTAAAATCGACGTTCTAGTTTCTAATCTTATTCGGCCAACTGAACCAGTTTGGCATTGTTAGCAGGTGCGTGCGGCCGATATGATACAAAATCATGATATATGTATTTGTTCGTTGAGAAAAGACAGAAGCCGGACACTTGATACAATGTTGCATCAACTATTTGTTCGTTATTTCACTTAGTCTAGACTCGGAACCAGATTCAGGTCCACTGTTTCATGAAGCAGCCTTTATTCATGACTAGATTGAGTAATAACAGATGTGTGGGTATTACGATCGCTCATTTCTGAGCGCTATTCGCTCAATGCATTTTTAGGCTTTAGAAAAAAGTTAGCTGATGATAATGGCGCGAACACTTCAGTGACTTCCCACACGGAAAAAAATATTTACTCCCCTAGGTGGGGTTCTGACGTCTCAAATACAGTACCTATATTAGAGTAGATATTCGCCCTATTTTGGAGTTCTATCCATAACTCCCTAAAACTATCAAAAGGCGATTCATTACTCCCTTGGTGTTTTGAAACTCCCTTGTAAAACGCAATTGAAACTCCCTTTTAGGGAGTGAAAAATAATAGGGAGTAGTGGAACCTAAGAGGAGTAATAAAACTCCTTATTAACTACTCCTTATTCCGGAGTTATGATCGCAAAAGGGAGTTTCACTACTCCTGTTCTGCAAGTGAAACTCCTTTAAATTTGTCTGTGGAGTAATGTCACACCGAAAACGAGACATGCTAAGTGGTTCCAAAACTCCCAAAAAGGTACTCATCCCAAATACAGTACTTATATTAGAGTAGATAAAGTTAACATTCTGGAGTTTTCCAAAAAGGGTGTGATGTCACCCCAAATATACGGGTTGAGTCACTCCTAATTTTGGGCAGGACGCACATTGCACAAGCCCCAACTGACATAATCAGAGCATTTCCAGCTGGAATTTTAACAAATATGGATCATTTATACCGTTATCATTGCAAAAAAGTTACTATGATGCTATGACGTGACGTGTGTTGTGAGGCTGAAATAAGAACCAGTGTCTTCCTATTTCTTTCGCGCATTTCGGAGACACAGTTTAGCTATAGTGTAATAAATAACCAGCAGACGAAAAAAAAATCTCGAGCATATCCAACAAAAACACTGGATTATAAACAATATTTTTTCTGTATTCTCGTCAACCAAATCATGCATGTAACAGCAGATTTAGCACAAGATGGCCAGGAGCCACAAGGATTTGCCACTGGGTTTACAGAAAATCTGCAGCAGCATCCAGTATCATCCAGTATAGCAGCGTCCAGCAAGTACAGCAATGGTGAACGAAGCAGCTATCATAGATGTTAACCCTCGCCCTGGCAGGGGGCGGGGTCGATGCGACCCCACCCCCTAAGGGTTTTCAAAGATAGCGTAAAAACGGCGGCGCACAGCGCCGCCAAATTTGGCACTGCCTATGGGGCAACCTTTTTACATGAGACCTGAAAATTTCAGATCCGGGTGACCTTGGGTCAGGTCACCAGGTCAGAACAACCGGTACAAGGTCATGGTCAAATTTCAATTTGTTTATGCACCTGTCCAACTCACAATTTTGGACTGATTTCCTTCAAACTTTCAGGATGTACTAAGTTCACCGAGTTGTATAACATATTGTTCGGGTTCTTATGTCGCTGACCTGAGGTCAGTTAGAGGTCATTACGTCGTAATGTTAAGCCTATGGGAAAATATTCAATTCGGAAAATATTGAAGATATCCGCTTCGTTCTATCACTTTTGTGCTTTGAAACCACAGTACTTAGCATTATGCCACTTGGTGCTTCTTTGTTTGGTGTACTTATCCAAGGGTCAGGTCAAATGAGGTCAACTGAGGTCAAATGACGTTTGTGCCGATAACTTGTCACATAATAAAGATAAAGCTTTCAAAATGGTACCATTCTGTTTCTCTTGAACAGCCGAGTCGAATGATATGCAACATTAAGCATTTTGACCATTCTTAAGACTTAAGTTGTACTTAGGTTGTGCTTAGTATTTCAAGTACACCTAAGCAACCAAAAAAAAAGTACATCGTTCGACGCGCCTTGACGTGCTGAGTTCACTGTTGCTTTTGTTTTTGTTCTATATTAATTAGACAAAAAGTTAGAAGCGAAAAACTTTTGACCTGTTTTAGCGTTGCACAGGGGTGAGAACTCAAGGGGGCCCACATACCTACCAAATTTGGTGTTTCTAGGTGCCATAGGAGGCATTAATGTTGCATATCATTCGACTCGGCTGTTCAAGAGGAACAGAATGGTACCATTTTGAAAGCTTTATTTTTATTATGTGACAAGTTATCGGCACAAACGTCATTTGACCTCAGTTGACCTCATTTGACCCAGCCCTTGTTATGAAAAATGACCTGCCAGGGTGAGGGTTAAAAAATGAACACATTTTTATGCAGAAACAATTGAGATGTGAGACTCTCCATAACACTGTAACACGGTCATAGGGGTGTGATTCTAAACACACATATCCAGCGCCGTGCTGGTGGTGCGAGTTTTCCGTGGAGTGCTGGGAGGGGGGGGGGGGACGGCGTTTTCGCGCCCCAGTCTAACTCGGCTCTCGGGTCATCTAGCGACACGCGGTAAACGGCACTTCGATAGTCAAAAATAATGAAGAAAATAATCCTGTCATTTTTAGATCATGTCAAAGATCAGGTCACCAGAGGTCATCAAAGGTCAAATTTTGCCTCTTTCAATAGTTTAAAGTTTTTGAAAACCGACGCATAACTTGGGAACCAAAAAGAGCCACTGCACCGCGAAAAGGCGCGTTCGATAGCCATTTTTAACGCTCTTTCGTAATGTGTCCTCAGATGTGACCTCAGGTCAACAGTTTAGCCTCTAGAGAGAAAAAAGAACTCCACAAATAACCGTTTTACGAAAATAATAGTGTATTTCTGTAATCACCTTTGACTCAATAGAGTCGCGACATTGCTGTTGGCAGCATCATAAAAAACATCATCAGCATTGAAAATTTTACTTAAGGTCAAGGTCATGACTTGACCGGAAAAGGTCATGCTGCATATCGGTCGATTCTTTTCGTCAAGCTGAACACATCTGAGGTTTTTTACCGCTCTAGCATGTCTCTCAATCGATGTTATAGACTTAGAGAGTGTTTAGAACGACGTTTTCTCCCATTCACTTATAATGGAGATTGCGCAAAATTGCCCTGGCATTAGGTCATCGATATGAAAGTTCTGAGATATAGGTATATTTTATAGATTCTTTTACTTTTATCAATCGCCGAAAATTGCAATATAATCATTCAGTCGGTGTAGCTACTACGAGCATTCTTTCTGCGGTGAGGTCACTTGAAGTGGCCTGGTGACCTGACCTTTGGCGACCTGGGTCTGAAATTTTAACAACATTTGTGGGAAAAGATGCATGAGCAGGTGTGCCAAAGAAGACGGTGGCTCCACGCAGCCATTTGTGAGCTATCTGCGAAAACCACGGGGGGGGGGGGTGTCCAAACGCTCTCCCCGGTCAGAGCGGGTTTAAATCGGTATTAGTCGCTGCATCTCGCGACGGCACACATGCTCGTTTTTTCCGCGAGCCTCTAGCTCAAGTTGGAAAGAAATATGGGAAGGGGATTCGCCCCTCGACGTGGGTGCATGCAGAAAACCGGTAGGTCCGGGGACGGTTAAGGTTATACAATATACACACTGTGGCTCAGCATCCAATTTACAGTGTGCATTGCACACACTGTCTCCGTGAGGGTTGTGCTGGATGAATAGACAACCACGCGTTGGACACTATTCGTTTATCCAACGTATTCCTCGTCGTGCAACGGGCTTCCGAGCGTGTTTGCCAACCATGCTTGCCAGCATTATCTGCAATGGAAAATGTTCCGTTGTGACTAAAAAAGACAATATTTTAAGTCTGCATAGGTGGGATCAATGGGTTTCTGAGAAACTTTGTCTAGGAGCTAGGGACATTCCCAACATCATTTGATGCAACTATTAGGTCACTGCATTGGGCGAGGAGTGATGTTTGCTCTGCTCTGCGCTCAACCTTTGCAATTGATAACTTGAGCTTTTTAACATTTCCGTATAACATTTTATATAACTAACATTTCCATAAACATTTCAATTCCGGAATTCACGCTTGAGTGCATTTGTCTTTTGATGTGGCGGGTAATTTTCGGAAAATAATTGAGATAGGCCTATTCTAATAAAGCAATATATATATACTTACACGTATTTTTTCATATGCCTTTCATTAACCCTCGCCCGCACATGCCATTTTCCCATCCTAGAACGCACATGGGGGAGGGGGTGGTTGCCACCCCCCCCCCCCCGCGCCATTTCGTTCCTGTTGGAGATAGAGCTTAGCGGTAAAGACCAAAAAGATTCTTTGGGAAGAGACGAATCCAATGATACCCAGTTTTACCTTCTCAGGTCAGTCATTGACCTTCCAGGTCAGGTCAAACTAAAAAATATTGCTGTTTTGGGTCACCGTTGGATATCAAGTGCGCTGCTTATCAAATACCGATGACGATGCTGTTTTCTGGTGCCAAGCTAGCTAGAACCTCTTTGTCACACT